CGGGCGGTGGCCGTGACTGTCACGCCGTGGGCCGGGCGGTGGCCGTGACTGTCACGCTGTGGGCCGGGCGGTGGCCCTCCCTTCTTGATGCCCTCACGTCTGTTATCTAGGAGATCGAAAGCAGTGTTAGAATTTGCCAGCAAGTTGCTCATGGATGATTTTCTAACCATGACATTAATTCCCCAAGTACAGCTTAGAGAGTGTTTTACCCAAAGTCACAGAGTAGTAGAAAGCTAAATCTGAAAAGATTAAAACCAATATTTATTAACACTTTAATCCTGTGGGTTAAATGGTCCCATGACTGTTTAGAGAGAATAATGTGTATTTTCTGAATGTTTAAAGAAAAAGTTATTCAAAAATTTTAACGACATTGTGGTGGGGCTAGATGGCAGTGCAGTGTAAGGCGATGCTCTATAAGGCTCCTCCACATGGGAAGGTTCCGGGTTCATGTCCAGAGACCTCCTTGCACACATCAGACATATGCATGCCCGTGCTCTGGGCAGGCTGAAGTTGGGGGTAGACTGCAGTGCAGGGACCCTGTTGGGTTCTACCTCTCGCTGTCTTCCTGCCTCTCTCTCTCTCTCTCTCTCTCTCTCTTTCTCTCTCTCATTCATTGAAAAAAGACAGAAAGAAAATTTTTTGAATGTAGCCCTGTATAGACATGTAATGAAGAAGACTTTTTATTTTTTTTTTAGAGAGATTTTTGCCATAGGGCACATGCTCTCACCAGAGAGACAAAGAGACAGAAAGCAAGAAGTCACTCCCCCGGGAGGATGGCCACACTGCAATCCCTTCTCCTCCATTCTCCTCTCAGAATCTTGGACATGCACACACACGCGCCTGGCGTGTCAAGTCGCCAGGTCCAGGACTCGAACTGTGGTCAACTACATGGTAGTCTAGCAACATAACCACTATGCCATCTGCTGGTCCCAAGAAGACATTTTTTTAAAATTATCCCCGTCCTGGGCCTTACTTCCCTAACAAATAACATGCTGCTTTCCTTTTCCATCTCCTTTTAGTAATTGCTCATGATCATGCACACGTTGTGTCCTTGTAATCCGGGCAAGACATAGTCGTGTTTCCTGGTGGTGATTTCATTTACCGTTAAAAGTGTTTTCGGTGTTCTTACAGTTTCTTCATAATAATACTCATTTTATTGATAAACTAGAATATTCTCTCTCTCTCTCTCTCTCTCTCTCTCTCTCTCTCTCCTCTCTAGGTTTTTGCCATAGGGTACATGCACTAGCCAGAGAGAGACAGAGAGGTAAAGTGAAAAATCACCACCACCACCCCCAAAGGGATGACCATGCCATAATCTCTTCTCCTCCAGTCTCCTCTTAGGATTTTGGGCATGCACACACACGTACTCCGGCATGATTTTCAAACCATCAGGTCCGGGACTTAAACCACAGTCAACTGTGTAGGAATCTAACATCTTAACCACCATACCACCTGCTGGGCTCTAAATTAGAATTATCTTAGCTTTTATTTCTTAGCCTAAGTTCTGCTTTCTCCTCTTTGTTTACCATCCTCCCTGCCCTGTGGTTTAACAATGTCCTGGGTATATTAAGAGTAGTGAGCTGAAATTGACCCAACATGAAATGGTACTGAAGTCATTAAATAGTTATTTGGGATTTTTAAAGTGAAGCAGTCATTTGGGGGAGGGGGTACCTTTCTCAGTTTTCAAACATGGCTCATACTTTGCACCACGGTCAGTTTTTTGCCTAGCAGTAAGCTGTGACGACGTGGCGCCTCCTACAGCTGTTCGTGTTGACAATCGGCGGCTGTCTTTCTCCATCACAGAGCTGTGTTCACTGGTATTCCTCTCGATGGAAGAGGCAGCATGTGCTCATTGCCTAGACACCTCCATAGTGTGCTTTATGTGTTAGGTCTGGGCTGGGAACACTTAAAAATAAGTCGGGCACAGGAACCAGCAGTTAGCGTAATGGCTATGTCGCGGGACTCTCACGTAGTCATCCGCGGGTCGCGTCCTGGACCTGGTGGCTTAAAACTCACGCCAGGCGCGTGTGCGTGCGTGCCCAAGATCCCGAGAGGAGAATGGAGGAGAAGGGATTGCGGCGTGACCATCCCCCCTGGGGGGTGATTTCTCGCTCTCGCTTTCTATCTCTATGTCTCTCTCTGTCTGTCTGGTGAGCGCACACGCCCTATAGCAAATAAACCTCTCCCCCCCAAAAAAAAAGTCGGACAGGTCAGACCAAACTTTAATCCTTGTTCCAAGCTTGTGGTTCTTTTTTAAGTCAATGAGCTGGAGCAGAAGCATGAGAACATCCTTATTCTAAAGACCCCAGTGAATTGTGGGTCAGATGGGAATATTTTCTGACCCAACTTCTGGTTATTGAAGTCCAGCACATCATGGAGAATCAGGGTTTCTGTTCAGTTGACCTTGGCTTGGCTGATAGACCCAGCTTTCCTCCTTGTTCATTCTTCCCTGCAGGGCTTGAGGCTCACCACGGGGTGTCTGATAGTGTGTGGTAATGATTGGCTGGTGGCTGGCAGCCGTTAAGTTCTTCGGGATGGAGGCTGGTCTCCAGAAAGACCAAGGCAGGATTAAAGGGCTGGGACTCTCAATCCTCTCCCTACCTCTGAGGAGGAGGGAAGTACGGAAAGTGGAATTAATCCCCAATGGCCAGTGATTTCATCAATCATGCCTACATGATGAAGCCTCCATAAAACCTTGAAAGGACATCAGTTTCAGAGAGTTTCTGGATAGCTGAGCCTGTGGGGGTTCCAGTAGGATACCTTGCCGAGAGATGGTCTGGAAGCTCTGTGCTCCTTTCCATACACCCCTACTCTATACCTCTCTTCACCCTATCCTTCCTAACATCCTTTATGGTAGACTGGTAGATGTAAATGTTTCCCTGAGTTCTATAAGCTGCCCTAGCAAATGAATCAAACCCAAGGGAGGTTGCGGGAACTCTGATTTATGGCTGGTCAGTAAAACAAACTAGGGCTTGCAATTGGCATCTGAAGGCGGGACAGCCTTGTGGGACAGCCCTCCACTGTGGAACCTCTGCTGCCTCCTGGCAGGCAGTGGTGGAACTGCAGTGAACTAGCTGGTGCCTGCTGCTGAAGAATAGCTTGCACGGTGTGTGGGAAAAGTCCCACATACCTGTGGTCGCAGAACTGTTCTATGTTGTCAGAGTGTAGTGGGAAGAAACAGTTGGCTTATTGCTGTACCCTCAGAGTGTCACTTAAAGGTTTTGACTTCTGCTCTCTGGAGATTGACAATAGCCATTTCAGAAGCACCGTGCTGGGGACCTCATCTGGGCCTGGCATCTGCTTTGTGCTCACTGTCTGGCTGGGAGACAACAGTAAACTTTGGACGGTTACCATTCAGGAGGTATGTGAGTTCCATAGGACTGACTGAAGTTTAGGGAGGGAAGAAAGTTCCATGGATGCAGAGGCAGGATGAGGGTCATGTCATGCATAGGTTGAGAGAGGCTTTCAACTTAGCCTCATTCACTCATTCAGAGAGAATTCATTGAACTAATGAGCAGGGACCTGCTTTCCTAAAAATTACACTCTAACCTAGAGGAAGGCAGATGGCAAATGAGGTCAGGCCGGGTAGAAAGAGAAGGAGCTAAAAGAAAATTCAGAGGAAGAGCTTTCCAGGCCTTTGGAGTAGCAAGTGGAAGACCCTGAGGCAGTGACTGGGCATTAGAGCCAATGCCCTCTCCTGTCCTCCTCCTACCCCGGTCAGCACCTCGCCCTCCACGCACTTCTCCACACCCTGCTTCACTTTGCTTGCTGGTAGTCATGATTTACTTTCATATTTTATATTCATTTGTTTATTTCTTCTGGTTTACTGTCCAACTAGAATGTGAGCTCCATAAGAACTAGAACTTCAGCGTGTTTATTGTCTCGAGGGCCTAAAATAGCTCCTGGCACACAGCAGGTCCTCAATATGTACTTACGTGGCTGAGTGGAAGGTCCATGCAGTTGAGCATAGAGAGAAAGAGTGGTCCAAGATTCCGAGGAGGGGACAGACAGGAAGGAGGGCATGCCAGGCATGCTGGGCTCTGAGCAAGGCCTCTGCAGGGTCTGTGGAAGGCCCAGGTGCCCAGGGCAGAAAATCCCACATGGAGAGTGGACCAAAGAGTCTCAGTGAGAGTCAGAACATTAGCCTCATCGCGCTCAGTGCCGTGAGTCGCCCTCCATCCCAATCTCCTTTCCCCATGTGAGCCCTTACCATGTCCTGAGCACGGCTGACACTGCAGATACAAAGGAGGAACCAGGCATGGTGTGATATTTGACTTTGGAGAGAAGAGCCCATCCCAAAGATTCGAAAGGGGAGACTCAAATTCCCCAAAATAGAGGGAGCAGAATTCTTTGGGCAGACTTTTGTGTATGTTCCCGACGGCATTAACATGGGTATCTGTAATTTGCCTAAAGCTCGTGGCTCTGGGAATTTATGTCTGAATCACTAATGCAGCTTGATATGTGGATTATTTATACAACTGACACAATCAAATGATTGTAAAGGATTAGCATCGTAGTTGGTAAATAAGATGTATGTAAACACACTGACGTTGATTCACTTGTGTTTAATGAAAAGACTCTGGAATGGTAACAGAAATACTTGGGCTTGTCATAGGAAGGAGGTGTTTGTGTCAGCCTCTTGGGCTGGACCTAGCAAGAAGAGAGAGTATTACGTTTTCTTATTTCTTTCCTCTCAGGAATAATTCCAGCTAATGGGAAGACCAATGTGACTATTAAGTTTACACCCTTTCGGTATGGAACTGCGCAAATTAAAATGCGGTTACTGATTTCCCAGTTCAACTCTCAACCCTACGAATGTGTCTTCACCGGAACGTGCTATCCCAACATGGCCTTACCGTACGGCTTCTTTGGAAACTTTATTTATTCTCGGCACTTGTTCAGAAATTCAAGTCTTTATTTCTTCCCTTCTGTCTTTCTTTTTTTGTAACAGAATGCCATCAGAAACGTATTTTACATGATAAGCCTACAAATACACTTTAAAATACAAAAGTAATGCATAGGATACCACTCTGCTAGCCGCTTCTGCCAGGAGGGGAAGAAATGATTGAGAAAAGGGGGGAAAGGGGTGGTTGGAGGAATACTTAAACTGATTGTTACTGGTGTATTATTTGAATTATTTTTGGTTTTGTTTTCATTGGGTTTTGATGTTTTTGTTTGTGGGTTTTTGTTTGTTTGTTTGTTTTTGTTTTTGTTTTTGCCAGAGGGCACACACGCTCACTAGAGAGAAGGGAAAGACAGAAAAAGCACCTCCCCCCCAGTGGACATGGTCACACTACAATTCCTTTTCCTCCATTTTTCCATTCAGCAAGGATTTTAGGAGCACACGCATGCGTGCACACACACACACACACACATATACACGTGTTCTGGGTATGTTTTCAAGCCACCAGGGCTAGGATTCAAACCATGGCTGGCCATGTGGGATCCAGCTCCTTATTCACAGGGCTTACCTATGGGATGGCCCATGTTTGAGTGCACTACCTCCTGTTCAAAAATTAAATCATAAGACCAGAACAACATGACCATTTTTAAAGTTTCATATAACATACTTAACTGAGTTCTGCTGTGTGCAGCACCTGTTTCAAACCTCCACAAGTAAAGGCCACACCCTTGAGATACAGGGGACTTCACAGGAGAGGTAAATGTGCCCCACAGAAAGTTTCTATAAACACCATCGGGTTAAAGCCAGAATGAAGATGTGAAATGGGGTGAAATTCTATTCATAACAAATCTTTTCTAAACTTCCATTTACACTTGAATATGTATTTTACATCCCAATATATCTGGTTAATATTATAAGTTTACTTTTTATTTTTTTCAGAGAGTTTATGTGCTCACCAGAGAGAGAGAGAGAGAGAGAGAGAGAGAAAGCACTTCCCAGGGGGTCATGGGCCATGGTCACACCGCAATCCTTTTTCCTCCATTTCTCCTCCTGTTGGGATCTGAGGCACTCATGCATACCCACACACTCAGCATGTTTTCCAAGCCACCAGGGTCAGGATTGGAACTGCGGTCGGCTGTGTAAGATCAGGCTCCCTACGCACTGCACTTAACTGCTGTGTTATCGGGCCAGCCCTAGGAGTTTTCCTAATATACGTTATTATTATGAAAGTTAAAAGAAAACGTTGTCACAATATAAATACTAACCTTAGAAAATCCTGGCCATTATTTTGAAAATGATAAAGAAATGCCTTGGCTTTCCTTCTTTTCCCTTCGTGCATAGTTGCATATCATACATAATAACATCCTCACACATATTCAACGTACAGTAATGGGGCCAGCAGGTGGTGTTGTGGTTAAAGCGCTGGACTCCCACATGGCCTGCTGTGGTTTGAGTCCCAGACCTAGTAGTTTGCTTTCTCACCTTCCTTCTCTCTCTCTTTCTCTCTCCCTCTCTGATGAGCGCATGTGCCCTGGAGCAAGTATTTTTAAATGTTGATAAATAACCTTATACCAAAATATGAACTAATGTCATGATTTATTACACAAGAGATCTTCAAAAAGTTCATGGAAATGCATATTATGAAAAAGTTATATTAAAGGCATAAAAGCAATGAAAATAGTTATGGATGCTGAAGACAGTGCGGAACGGGGTAGTAGAAGGGAAGAGTATAGAGAAGGATAGCAAGAGAACAAATAGCGAGGCACGACATTAGTGGGACACAGAAATGGTTTATTACCTGTTGATAACACGTATAGTTTTCTCAGCTGGATTGGTCCGAGAAGTATTTCATGTTGGGTAAATTCTTTATACAAGTCAAATGATATATAGTGATTAAATGTTTTTTTAAAAAATGAGAATAAATAATAATAATAATCTGAAAAAAATAATAAAAAGCTATTCGATGATGATGTAGATACTAATACCTTTGTCTTGACTGATATGCATGGTAATAGAAATGTAATACACTATAAAGATATATGCAATTCAGGGACCAGCAGTTGGTGTAATGGCTATGTCACTGGACTCCCATGTAGTCGACCACTGTTCGAGTCCCGGACCCAGTGTCTTAGACTCACACTGGGCGTGTGTGCATGCATGCCCAAGATCCCGAGAGGAGAATGGAGGAGAAAGGATTGCGGTGTGGCCACCCCTCCGGGGGCGGGGGGGTGATTTCTCACTTTCTGTCTCTCTGTCTCTCTCTCTCTGGTTAGCGCACAGGCTCTATAGCAAAAACTTCTCCAAAAAAAAGATAGATGTAATTCAATGTAATATAAAAAGATTATAATAATAAATAAAATTAAGTTTAATAATAAATAATAACCATCAAAATAATAAATCAAATTAAATTATTCTAAAAAAGGAAAAGAAAAAGTTATTCATGAACGTCAAGATTTATTTACACTAAGATAAAGTCATACTTGACCCCCACTTTTCCGTGACTTTTTGAAGTCCCTCATACTGTCAGAGTGAATGCTAGTGTATTCTTATCTCTGTAATGTCACGAACATCTGTTGTTCATCTTATAAAACAAACATCGATAGTTAGCTGCACTGTCTCTACCTGCCAAGGTCCAAAGGCACTTTTCAGTTACAGACAATATCCCAAACATAGTCTGAACCTCTTAGTGAAAGATCTTGCTACAAACAACGGGCATAACCATTCTTTCACTTTGAAGGAAAATGAAGGTAGGATTTTAAAATTCAATAAATTTAGCTATTGAGAACCAACAGCCTAAAACTGAACTATGCTGGACCACAAGAGGATATTTGAGCACATCCTGTTCTTCATTCATGATGTCATTTAAGAATGTAAGGGAAGGGCTGACCCAGGATCGTAAGGCCCTGGTCCGGACAGACAACCGAGGGGCTCCTGCCGCAGGTGTCTGCCAGCGCGCTGCGGAGGCGGGCAGAACCTGGCCGGCGTTGCTCCTGGCGGTGCAAGGCGGTGACCTGCCACCCCCTCGGGTTGTTGGGCTCACAGAGGAGACTGAGAGCACCTGAAGGCCCCAGCCGCCTCACCAAATCAGAGAAAGAAGCCATCTTCCTACAACATGGCAGGTCTTCGGTTATGGGGTGGACGCCTATGAAGCCTGCAAGAAGAGAAATCTGACAGGCGACATCATTAAGCGGCAGAAGAAGGTTCAGGAAGCTGATGTAGTGATATTTCAGTTCTGGTGCCGGGGCGGTGCCGGGGCTTCGCCTTCGACACCCTGGGGTCTACGACTCCGGTTTTCTCAAGAGTTAAGTTGGGCCTCCTTTCCTTAACCACAGTGGGCACGGCGGAGATGTACAGCAAGGGGAGTCAGCGGGTCTCCTGGTACTTCCTGCAGACACTGCAGCATAGCGGTTGCACTTCTGTAGATTTAAAGTCCTCGCCCCTCAGATCAGTTTTGCTCCTGGGTCTGCATCAGAAGAAGAAAGAGGGGATGGTGGCTTCGTGAGCTCAGCAGCTGAAGACCCCTGGGAGGAAGAGCCCATCCACTGCACATCCCCTTGGTACTTCGGGCCACAACAAACACTTTGTGCCACGTGCACGTCACATGAGCAACGCTAGCCCACCCGAGAACATGCGCTGGGAAGATGGGGCCTCACAAAGTAACTGCAGCAGAGCAAACTGGGGACCTTTAATGGTGTATGTGAATGAGGACCTTCCATCCAATATTGCAGTGACAAGCAAGTCAGACTGAACTCTACCCTGAGCCATGTTATTCACCCAGGTGATTAATACAGACTGCCCGACTTGCAGTGATTTCACTTAGGAGTTTTCAGTTTTATGGTGCCCTTATTGGTCCGGAACCCCATCATAAGTCAAGGAGCTTTTGGACTTGGAATAGTTTGACTTACAACTTTTCAACTTTTTGATGGGTTTACCAGGCTATTACAAAAAAAATTTTAAAAAGAATGTAAGGAAAAACAACCATTGGTGGGCTATCTCAATATATAAGATTAGACTTAAATATACTGACATTGCATTTATTTGGGGAGAGCACTGTTTCAGTACATAGGTTTATTTTCAGTTTAGATAACGTGATGAACTGCAAGTTGTGGTACTATCAGAAGGAATATAAAAATAGCAGCCTTGAGTCATTGGCTTACATACTAATTTAACATTTGTTTTAACCTATAGATTGAAAGAATTTGAGAGATTAAATAATCTTTCTAAGAAAATCAATGTGCCCCCAGAAAAAACAATGACACATATCAATTTTCACCGACTACCAGCAAAGACAAAGCCTCCAAAAATTAAGGTAAAGTGGGCGTTATCATCAAGGTGGTGGAAGGAATGACCGAGAAAGGAAATTACTAATTTCCCCCCACTTTTCTGGTCTCTCAGGAAATTGAATACCAGAACTTAAAATTCCCAGTGGATTTATCGAATCCATTTGCTGTGGCAACGGTTTTAAACCAAGAACCAGGAAAGTTGAAGATTAAAGAATTGAAAGAAGGTAACTAGTTGATCCTCTCTAAACCAGCCCCTGGGCAGATACGGAAGAATCAGGGCTTGTCTCATTTATTATTTGTGAACAAAGAACCTCAGTTAGATTGCCGTTATGGTTTGCCATTAGAAAGGTGTTTTTCTCTCAGCAAATTATTTTCATTCAATTTCTGGCATAATCCTTGTTTGCTCCTGCCTTCAGTTTTAGACCAAGGCAATGAAATTTACAAAACCAGACAGATGAAGGAGGCGCTCTTCGAACAGAAAGTCAGACAGAACTCTCATGAAGAGATGGAGAATCACCTTAAGTGGTAAAATTAAACAATGATTTGTACTAAGTGATAGCACGGCTGTTTTTCAATGATGGTCTTTTATACATGAGACACACTGAAATGTAATATCCTTTTATGCCCTTTGAAGAATTTGATCATTTTTTTCTCTTCCACCGGCCCTTCCATTTCTGAGTGGATTTCTATTAGGAATAAATTAATGTGACCAAACCCTACTCTTTTGTAATTATGACCAGACAGTGGCAGAATCAGAGTGAACTGTGGGAGACACCAGGACCCTGCTCCCTCCTGGCCACTGCTGTAGTGCCCCCCTTGCTCCAGGACAGATCGGAGTGGCCTAGGCATCCCAAATCTCTCCTCATCACCTCCCACCCCACATGAGCCCTGTGTCCATGCTGTGTTTACTGGGGCCTTCTGGGGATCCTGGGGATGTGGTTTGTGGGGAGAGGCCCCTGGTATTTAAAATCTCATATGTGAAAATTCTCACTCTCCTATATTAAAAATGGAACCTGTTTCACCACCTTCTTTTTTTTTTTTTTAACTAGATCATGCCAGGTATTTCCATGTGCACAAATTCAGCCAAAGCAAACTTTAGAAACTCTTGAATTGGGCTGAAAAGGTGACTCCTGGAAAGTGTCATTGAGAGGCAACCTCACCCACACCCTTGCCTCCGTACTTCCCATCACAGAAGAACCTGCCCTGATCTTGAAGCCCTTCAGAAAAGGGTCCATACCCTCTGCCCTGTTTCCGTGGCCTTTGTTTCTAACAGAAATCTCTTTTTGCTTCAGCCTAACTCTGTATTCATGGTCTGGCTTCGGTTAAATAGAAAATATTTCAAGTAACTGAAGATTTTTAAAGTATCCCCTATTATCAAAAATAGATACATTGTCATTGCAAGAAATCTGAAAACAAAAAATTTTAAGTATAGAAAATGAGGGACCAGCAGTTAGCATAATAGTTACATCACTGGACTCCCATTTAGTCGACCATGATTCGCATCCCAGACCCAATGGCTTAAACTCACACCGGGCACGTGTGCGTGTGTGCCCAAGATCCCGAGAGGAGAATGGAGGAGAAGGGATTGCGGCGTGACCATCGCCCCTGGGGGGTGATTTCTTGCTTTCTGTCTCTCTATCTCTCTCTGTCTTTCTGGCAAGCACACACGCCCTATAGCAAAAACCTCTCCAAAAAAAGAAAATAAGAAAAAAAAAAAATCCCTGTAACTTCGTCACTCAGCAGTCTCCACTGTCAGCACTGGTGTCTCTCCTCCCTTCCCTGCTTCTTGTACCATACTTGAAATCACATCTCTGAAGGTGGTGTTCTTCACTTCATATTTTTCCCGAGCTTTTTATGTTGACAGATTTTAAGCCTGTAATATCCACATATGAACATTTTTTAAAGATTTTTTTTTTTTTTTTTTTGGAGAGGTTTTTCGCTACAGGGCACGTGCGCTCACCAGACAGACAGAGACATAGAGACAGAAAGCGAGAAATCACCCCCCAGGGGGGATGGTCACACCGCAATCCCTTCTCCTCCATTCTCCTCTCGGGATCTTGGGTACGCACGCACACGCGCCCAGCGTGAGTTTTAAGCCACCGGGTCCGGGACGCGAACCACAGTCGACTACGTGGGAGTCCAGCGACATAGCCATTACGCTAACTGCTGGTTCCCAAAGATTTATTTTTTATTCAATTTTATTATTATTATTTTTTAATTTGCTATAGGACACGTGGAAGAGAGACAGAGAGAGAAAGCAAGCCGCCAAGTTTAGAACTCAACCAGCCAGCCATGTAGGAGTCCAGTGCTTTAACCACCACGCCACCTGCTGGCCCCCATCAACATTTTTCAAGACCTCTCGTACACCTGACCTTGGTGCGCTAAAGGTTAACATCATGCCACATGTTTGCCCTCACTCCATACACTCATGCACAGAGGTGTATACACACGCTCACGCACGCACCTGCATATAAACCCACACATGCCTTTTCTTGTTTTCAGAGCTGTTTGGAAGTTAGTTGTAGATGTAAGGAAATTCAGTTCTCTGCAAATACTTTAGCAACTAGCTCCTAACAATGACATCCTCAATTATTACTGTGATCTCTTGCAAGAAAGTTAATATCGATACATTGATATTATCTAGTAGTCAGTCTATGGGCAAATTTACCCATTGTCCAGTAATGTCCTTTACACCTAGAATGATTTGGTTTTAGAGGAGGATGTCTAGGGTCCAATTTGGTTTTCCTTTGCATTTCTCTTTGGTGTCCTTGAATCTAAAACAGTTCTTCAGACACCTCCTCACCACTTTAAAAATCATAGCTACTTTTTATTTTAAACGTGCGGCAAGTCCCATGGTGGACTTAAAAAGTCCAAGTGCCAAGTCTCAGATCTTTCAAAGTTGTGAGAAAATTGTGACAGTGTACAAGTCCCTATTTTAAAATGTACAGTGCAGAAATTTTTTTCAGTGTATTTACAATGTTGTGTAACTGTCACTACTACCTAATTCCAGGGCGTTGCCATCACTTCAGAAAGAAACCTGATACCCACCAGTAGTCACTCCCCATGCCCCACCTCCTCGGTCACCGGGCAACCACTAATATACTTTCTGGCTCCGTGGATCTGCCTATTCTGGATGTTTTATATAAAGGGAAGCTGCAATACACAGTCTTTAGTGACTGGCTTCTTTCGCCTCACATGTTTTCAAGGTTCACGCATAACATAAGCACGTATCAGTACTTTGTTCCTTTTATGGCTGGATGATGTTCCAGTGTATAGACTTACAGCATTGCATTTATCCATCCACCAGCTAATGGCATTTAAGTGGTCTCCACTTTTTGGCAGTTGCGAGTAATGCTGCTATGAATGCTTATCTACAAATTTTTGTGTGAACACATCTTTTCAGTTCCCTTGGGTCTGTACCTATAAGTGGACTTGCTGAATCACATGGTGACTCTATATGTAACTTTTTAAAAAATAGTTATTTTATTTAACTTTATTTATCCATTTGTTTATTTATTTCAGTTTGACCAGAGAGGAACAGAAAGAGAGAGAGAGAGAAAGCCACCAGGTCCAGGACCCAAACCACCGTCGGCCATAGGGGAGTCCAGCGCCCTTAACCACCATGCCACCTGCCGGCCCCATGTGTAACTTTTTTAGGAGGCATCAAGCTGTTCTGCATGGTAGCTGCACTATTTACATCCCCACCAGCAACATGTGAAGGGCCCAGTTCTTCCACATCCTTGGCAATACCTGTCATCTTGCATCTTTATGATTATCACAGACATCCCATTTGGCATGAAGTGGTGTGTTCTTGTGTTCTGATTTGCATTTCCCTGAGTGATGTTGCACATCCACATGTTTTAATGCATAAACGTTTTAGAATGTATTACTAGAAGATAAGCTCCATCCTGCAGAGTATGTTACCACTTCTCTCCCCCTGATATTTCCTCCAATATCTGAGCACTTATCAGTCGTCGAGTATGGCAAAGACAGTGCACCCCAAAGTTGACTGTGGTACTCTGACGGCTTCTGGAAGTTAGTTTTTTTCTCCCCAGGCAGGTGCACCTTGGTAAAGATCACATGTCTTTTAAATTTAAAAAAGAGCTTACTGAGGACCGGCAAAGAGCATGCACCAAATATGAGGTCAGAATTACTGCTAATTTCATATCATTTGTTTCCCTGAATATTTTGTATTCCTTCCGTACGCAAGATGTCATATAAGGAGGAAGAAACATTGTAGTTAGGTTGGGAGGAAAGGAGGCTGATAACAAGTAAAGGGTTAGCCATAAATCAGGGTTGGCTATAATGTCCCCTGGGACCTATACGACATTATCATGGGCATTCAGTAGTCAGAGAGGAAAGAGAACTCATCCGATTGAAAAGTTTCCTGGAAGACACTGTGTCATTGTGGAAAAGTGGTGAGGAGTACTAATGCATTTAGAGGGAGGAAATGGTGTTATGCTATCATTAAATGCAGGCTAGAATTCTGGGCATGGGTGTACCTGTCCCATCATCTGCAGAGCACAAAGAAAAGGACCTGCAGAGGGTGACCAGGAGCCATACCAGACCCAGATCCAAGCAATAGTCCCAAGTCAGTGACTCTCAAAGGAGCCAAGCAGAGCAGGAGCAAAATGAGCTGACGGGAGTGGGGCCATGCCTGAGACAGTGAGCAGCACCAGCAGCCTTGGGGACAGGAGCTACAGACTGTGCAATATGTCTCAACCATGGCCTCACTGTGGCATGGGGCACAGTTGTTACTTGCAGGGCAGATGCAGAGAACGTGGGGAACAAGTCCATAGCATCTAAAGCATAGGACTCAGTTGGGGCTCCGTGTATGAGGGACGTGGACTTGATTGGTCAGACTTGTGAAATCATCACAAATGTATTAATTTGCTTGGGCTTCCATAAGAAAGTGCCACAGACTGGGTGGCTTAAAACAGCAGACTTTATCCTGGGAGATGGCCACCATCTCCCTGTGTCTTCACGTGGTCCTCCCTCTGTGTGTGTCTGTCTCATCTCCTCTTCTTGTAAGGACACCAGTTCTATCAGAGTAAGATCCATTCTAATGACCTCGTTTTAACTTGATCCCCTCTTTAAAGACCCTCATCTCCAAACACAGTCACAGGATGAGGTGGGCGATAGAGGCTCAACACGTGAATTGGGATGGGGGCACCAATCACTCCAAAAGGCTTATGTTTAAGCTTGGGTTCATGAGCTTCAGGTAAGCTTAATGTGGCAGCAGTGGGTAGAGAGAACTAGGGACAAACTGTGTCTTATCGGAGATGAGTAAGTTTCTCTTAGAGAACACATTTTCTTCTGAGATTTGGAGTCTAAACCAGATATTCAGGTAAATTTGTCTTATTTTTCATGAAACATGCAAAAGAATGTAAAATCATTACATCGGCAAATCTTCACGTCTAGGAATGGCACCCATGAAACGGCCATTTAAATTTAGTTTGGTGTGTGTTTCAGATTTGTTGCATGCTGTCATGAAAACAGAATACCAGGTACTTTATGTCGAGCTCCCTCTCCAATGGAGAGCGCCTTTCTAACTTTTCAAGGACGCAGGTGCTATGGGCGTGCCGTGAGCTCTCAGACTGCGGACGCAGTGCTCACAGGGCAGGGAGGAGGAGGAGTGGACGTTGGAGACCAAGTGTTACAGGGATCCTGCTCTGTGTGCCCAGGGGGTTTTCTCTGGCAGGTGACCCTGGCAAGGAGCTCCTGAGAGCCCAAAGCACATGAAAGAAAGCTGAGCAAATAAAGGTGATGGGGAGAAGGAAGTCAGCATCGTAGCTGAATGACACAGACCCTCCCGCACACTCTCAGAGGAGACAAGAATGTTCCAGAGTGTTCATCACAAATAAGTAAAGTCTTCATAAAGACACGAGAAATCTCCCTTCACTTTATTCTAGCAACCTATTTGCCGATCTCCTCTTTAAATGGATGGCTTTACTTTATAATTAGTGGTGGTAGGGGCCAGGATCTTTCCCCTTGAGACCTGGGCTGTAAACTTCTCCCATTTCATGATATGTGTGAGTCAGAACTAGACAGCTCACTGCCCTGGTGATAATAAAACACCTCTCTTGCTCCTGAACAGGGTGTTAATGATGATCAAAATAGATTTTTCCAGTTAAGTCTATAAAACAAATATGAATGGTATCCTCAAGAGCCAAACTAGTTTTCAGAGGTACCTCACCAACAAATCATAGGACCCACAGAGAGATGAAACCAAACATGGTCTGCAGGGTGCACAGCCCCTTTCCAGGGACTAGCGTGTATAGACACTGATCCGAGCCCAGCTGGCCCACCCCCGGGGTCAATGGTAGTTTGTGGGGAGAGAAGAGAACCCCAGGGGTTGTCAGGGGAGCAGGCAAGTGGGGGCAGGAGAGCCACTCTGGGACGCGTATCCCAGAGAAGGGCAGATAGTGCCCCTGCACGGGGGGAGCAGTCAACCTCCACCACCTTGGAAAGGAGGGGAGTGACCAGGTTTATAAAACCTGACACTTGGATAATTAACTCATGGGAGCACAAAACTTTGCTGGGACATTTCTTTCCAATGAAATCTATACATGAAGGGTCTTCAAAAAGTTCGTGGAAAATGCACCTTGCCTAAAAAGAAAAGATGAATGGATTTCTTTTTGCACCAAATAAGCCTGTACTTTTGTTCCATTTTCTCATGAACGGTTTGAAGTCCCCTGTTCTCTTATGGTTAGTTTCCTATAATCCTTGCTGTGAATTTTAAGTGCCTTGGCAATCATTTCCTCTCGTTATAAAAAGAAGATAATGGGTCTGTGTTTCCATAAAGGCTTCCTAGGTCTAATGGGTAAGCGTAATTATAATGAACATTTTAGCCTGCTCCTGTGTGTCTCCACAGCTTCCAGCAGGAGCTCTCAGGGTGGGTTTGACCAATAGCTTAATGAGTTCCTACCAGTTTTAAAGAGAAATGAAGTCTTATGCATTTGTATTTAACTTTAATTATTTTGATGATTAAAACCCCAGCAAGATAGAGGAGATCCTATTTTGGAAAAGGAATTTCAGCGACTCAAGACAGAAGTTAACCAAAAACGGGTCGTTCACAATCTAGAAGAGGTAGGTGATTCCTTTTATGTGGAACCTGATTGGCATTTCTTTGAAAACTTTACATTCTTTTTTCTTTTTTTCTTTTCTTTTTTTTTTTTTTTTTGAGAGGTTTTTGCTATAGCGTGCGAGAGCTCTCCAGAAAGACAGAGAGAGACAGAGAGACAGAAAGCAAGAAATCACCCTCCAGGGGGGATGGCCATGCCACAATTCCTTCTACTCCATTCTCCTCTCAGGATCTTGGGCACACATGCACACGCGCCCGGCATGAGTTTAAGCTACAAGTCTGGGACTTGAACCACGGTCAACTACATGGGAGTCCAATGACACAGCCATTACGCTAACTGCTGGTCCCTCCAGGCCCCATCTTTTTAAAATGTACATTTAATTACTGTACGTCTTTACAGCTTATGAAATTTTTTTTAATAATAAACAATTTTGAGACTAGCAGTTTGCATAATGGCTATGTCGGTGGACTCCCATGTAGTCGACCGTGGTTCGCGTCCCGGACCCGGTGGCTTAAAACTCACGACGGGTGCGTGTGCATGCATGCCCAAGATCCTGAGAGGAGAATGGAGGAGAAGGGATTGCCGTGTGACCATCCCCCCTGGGGGGTGATTTTCTCACTTTCTGTCTCTCTGTTTCTCTCTGTCTGGCGAGCGCACGCACCCTATAGCAAAAAAAACTCTCAAAAAAATAAAAATAAAAATAATAATAATAAACAATTTTATAGAAACCCTTTACTAAAATATATTTAATAAATTTTAATATGCTTACATTTTCAGAGTTTCTTTTACCATTTATTTGCAAACAAGGCATCAACACCTGTAACTAATGTTTCTCTTGAAATTAACAACTCTGTGGCATACAGTCTGCTGTACCTGACTACCTTCTGTCATGTGATAGTTTGAGGTTCAAAGTCCAACTTTTAATTTTAGCAGTGAAAAATGTTCTCCCTAATCTTCCCATCTCCATCATTCTTGTTTTTTTTAACATTCAGTCACTACAGCATTTTCCCGTCATGAATACTGTGTGTTGCTTCAGTCAAAGATATTACCATACACATTATCATCGACAGACTTCTTTCCATTTTGGGTCCCTTAAATGTTTTGCTTCTTTCTTCTTTCCCTTGTCCCCAACTCAAGAAATAGTCTCTATAGTCCTGTATATGCTAAACTGTTTAATAAATGTTCAGTAATGGGCAGAACAAGTAAATAATGACTCAATTTAGGATCAAACTCTGAAATGTTTAAATGCTTATGCCAGGAGTTACAAATTTTAATGTAAGATGTGCCTATATTTTATATTTACAGAAAATCAAGGAATTTCAACCCAATTTTGATCCACTCATTAACAACACTTGGGTCAACAGGTTCAGAGCACAAAGACAGTTTCGACAAATAGCACGCAAGGTAAGTCCCAGCATCAGGCGAGATTTCGACTTATTCAGTCATCAGCACACAGATCTCAAACAATGGGTTTTGTTTGTTTTTTTGAGAGAGATTTTTGCTATAAGACACATGCACTCACCCAAGAGAGACAGAAAGCAAGAAATTTCCCCCAGATTGGCCATGCTGTAATCTCTTCTCCATTCTCTCCTCAGGATTTTGGACATGCACATACACGTGCCCAGTGTGAGTTTTAAGCTGCAGAGTCTGGCACTCAAACTCTGGTCAGCTATGTAGGAGTCCAGCAACGTAATCATTTTGCCATCTGCTAGTTCCAGACAATGGGGTTTTGTTTGTCTGTTTTTATTTAGAAAGATTTTTACTATAGCGTGCATGTGCTCACTGAAGAGACAGACAGAAAGCAAGAAATCACCCCCCATGGGGAGTGGCCATGTCACAACCTCTTCTCCATTCTCCTCTCAGGATTTTTGGCATGCATGCACACGTGCCCAGCATGAGTTTTAAGTTACCGGGTCCAGGACTCAAACCGCAGTTGATTATGTGGGAGTCAAGTGACATAGCCATTACACCGCTTGCTGATCCCAACAATGGGTTTTTAATAACACCTTTCGTGAGATACAATTTATATACTATAAAAGTCACCCCTGTGAAGTGTACAATTCAAGAGTTTTTAGTATATTCAGAGCTATCACCACTATCTAATTTTAGAACACTTTTATTGCCTCAAAAAGACTGCCCTCTACCTACTAGCAGTCACTCCCTCTTCCCCTTCCCTTCCCCTGGTCCTGGCAATAAACGATCTATTTTCTGCCTTTATGGATTCACCTTTTGTGGACATCCATGTAGATGAGATCACAATACAGGGTGTTTTGTGACTGATTTTTTCACTTACATACTTTCAAGGTTCACCGTGTTGTGCCATGTGTCAGTACTCCATCTCTCTTTATGGCTGAGTAATATGCCGTTGTTTGGTAGACCACATTTTCTGTACCCATTCATCAGCTGATGGATGTTTCAGTTGTTTTCCCGTTTTGGATGTAATGAGTAAATGCTGCTGTGAATGTTTGTGAAATTCGTGGACATATGTCTTCAATTCTCTTATGTAAACAGGAATCTTCAAAAACTTCATGGAAGATGTTTAATGTGAAAAAGCTGCATAAATGTCCACTGTATTTGACCAAAATAAATTTGCATTTTGGGACCTGCAGATGACATAATGACTATGTCACTGGACTCCCATGTAGTTGACTGAGATTCGAGTCCCGGACCTGGTGGCTTAAACTCATGCCAGGTGCGTGTGCGTGCGTGCCCAAGATCCCGAGAGGAGAATGGAGGAGAAGGGATTGTGGCGTGGCCATCCCTTTGGGGGGAGATTTCTTGCCTTCTGTCTCTCTATGTCTCTCTGTCTTTCTGGCAAGCGCACATGCCATATAGCAAAAAAAAA